TTTCTCGTTTCGAACCGATTATGACAATAAAAAGTTTTGTACAGCACTTTCGAAGCTGAGTCATCCGTGTAACTTGGAGACCAAGTTAAAAGTATTTCTTTCTTTACTAAGTATATGTTCACGAGGCGTTCGAAACTTTCAAGTCGCTTTTTAAATCTATATTCTCGATAGGGAAGTTGTTAATGTTGTGGTCGTATTATATTAGCAGTGCATACAAGGATAGACGTTTTTTTTCTTCTAAAAACAGCGCCAACCGGAAAAATAAATGTCGCACCTTGTTTTACGACAAAGAATCGAGTAGGGATAGGCGCCAGCGATGTAGACGATTACGCACGGTCCGGCGAGCATGTCTCCCACGGCGGACAACCAGCTTTTTCCATTCGCGAACGGATGTCGTTAATGCTTTCGAATTTCCATAAACGCCTGCGAACGAGCCACGATGACAGGTTAGATTAGATATCTCATCCTGCGAGTACACAGAAGATCTATTAATTATTCTATATACGATCGGACCGTTATTCGAAATTTCCTACGATCACGATCACGTATTATTCGATAATATTTTTCATATCAAAAAGAAAAAATGATCAGAAGTTCGAGATAAAATCATTAATAATTAAAATGACACCGTGTAATTAAATTAGTTATTAATCGGTGTTCAGATAACTGACGATAGAATAATACGAGGCGAATAGATACACGCGTACACTTTCGTACAGTTACGTTACCGTTATAAACGATTTCGAACCTGTTCCAAACGGACCGGTTCGAGTTGTTCGAGAAAATGGGGAGAAATTTTGACGATCGGTCATTTCGACACTCGACGCCCAGGTTGATCGGGGGAGGGTAGAACGAAAATCAGCCACCAACGGGGGCCAAGAATAGCTTGAAACTGTACGGTTCGCGGAAGATGAATTACAGTGGAATCATGAGTAGCCGGTTCGAAGAACGAAGGCGATCGCTCTGGTCGTCGTCGTGGTAGGAATTTGGAGCGTTGACAGCGGCGCCGTCGGGGGGTTGGATCGCGTCATCCAAAGAAAAGTATCATGTCCTTACTTTGTACGGCATGCCCGGACAAATCCAATGAGAAATATTCGCACGCGTGTTCCGCCATGCGCCTGTCACGACTGCCTTTGTCGCGTTCATTCTTCCTTTTCGTTTTCCCTACACATCGTCATGCGAATCTATTGATCCACTCTACTCGAACGATATTGACAATGATTCTGGGATCATATACTCTGTTAATTCCTTTCGAAAGAGATCGATTGCGAAAAAGATAGACTAATTTTCGCAACTTCAATTCTCATTAATCTTCTTACTAATTATACGTAAATTGCACACGTAAGTAATGGATAAAAGAAGAAAAAAACACGTGTCTCTCTTTTCTTCGTTGCTAACATTTGATACATTCAACAAGTGCAAAAGTGGGAAATAAAGACTTGAAACTCGAGACTCGTAAATATCCCAGGTGAGATCACCGGATCTCCATATTCCGTTTTCTCACGCGTGACGTTCCTCTCTGTATTGTTCCACGAGGCGCCAATGTTTATGTTAGACCGGTCGTCGTCCGGTTCATTCTCGCGGCCGTTTCGCGTGCATTACCGCAGTCCGTTCAGGCGAGTGGCATCAGCCGTGATACGTCAGGAACGGCGCCATACTCCATACTGGCCGGTACGTGAATAATTCTCGTGTTTGGAAATAGAACGAAGCAAAAGTGCGCTCGACCTGTTCCGCCGTTGCCTACGCTAGTGCCGACCCGTTACGAAATGCCTATCTGCGGCGGCTTATAATTTTGTACCTTGACTCTCTGGGCTCGAGGCGAACGTATAATCTGACCGGTCGAAGGGAGAGTCGGGAGGGATCCCGCATTTTGTTTGTTTAGCAATTCGTTAATAATATCGTGAAGTCCAGTGCGCCTCGATTTTTATTTTTTTTCGTTCAGGAATTCACACGATCGTCGTATAATCGATCTATTAAGAGTACTTGTACGCGTTCTGTTCCTTGGAATTCTTGGACGTTGTATTTTATTTGCTTAGGAATGTTAATAATATCGTGGAACGATATCCAATTTTGTCACGCACGAAGTTGGACAAGCACGGTTTAGTTAATGACGAGCCGTGATCGTGTCCGATTTTTATCTTTTTTGGCCAAGATGTTATTACATGGTTGTATAATAAACATTAACTACCTAGAAACGATGTTTCCTCCCGATCCTTGATGCCTATGTATCGCTCGGCTAGGAATGTTAATAATATCATAAAGCGCATCCAATTTTGTCACACACGAATCCCGAACACGATTTAATTAATGAAATCCTGTTCGAGTTTTATTCTTCGATTTGGATTACCATGTTTTTATACGTGATCGTATAGAAGATGATTCCGTATACGATTTTTCACTCTCGCTAAGAGTTCTTTTGAGAATGAATGAATATTTGGTATTCGGATTAATTTTTTTCGATTTTATATATTTTTGATATTGTATAGCGTGCATTAATTTAATTATTCGTCGCCAATGCATTTTAGAGTAGAAAAGTCATTGCGTGTATCATATATCGAGCGAATGACTGATAATGCAAATGTAACGAAGGAGGGAAGTATTTAATGATAGGATAAGAAATGAAGGTTGAATAGTTTGTAATATTGGTTTTAAAAGATAATTAGATAAGCAATTTTGTAATTATTAACGATGAACATGGAGGAATTTTTTACATATATTTTTTGATTTCTTTTAAACAAATTTTCATTTTAAATTGTAAGAAAAAAATATTTACGATCGAGAAAATTAAAATAATGTATGGGGTGTAAAGAATACGCGAATAAAATCAAGACGAGAGCAAAATTTCTCAATGCCATCGGGTAATTGGTTCATCGTTCGTACGCACGAAACAGCTTTTATCCTCCACGATGTAATCTTAAGGGATACAAGTTAGAAATATACACTCGTTTTGTGTGATATGGAAGTTGAAGCGAAGGGCACCTTGATCAACACTTTAATTGGACCAAGACACCGAGGCACCGAGAACGTGGACGGCCCTGGAGAATTTACCAGGCTTTACCGAATGAACGCACGATAAAGCGAGACAAAATCAGAACAAGAGGAAAGAAGAAAAAGAAGGGAAGGAGAAGAGGGGAGGGGGGAGGGGGAGATGGTGAGTGGCGGCAGGCGAAAGAAGAAAGAGAAAGGAAAAGAGAGAGAAGAAGAAAGAGCGAGGGACAGTTGCGGAGGCCAGGCGCCTGATTACTAGCCAGCTCAGGACGCCAGACATACATAACTAAATAACTTCCTAAATTCTATATCATTTCGGAGCGGGTTCCAACGGTGAAATAACGCGTCTAGACGTTGCTGAAGAAAACGAACAACGGACGGCGGCAAAAAAAGAGCGAGCTTTAATGCGTCAAGACGCTGATTTATCCTTCGAAGTCATTCTCAATATGGGCTCCGTGAAATAATTAATGGCGCCTCCGTTAGCTTGCAGGGGGACGGTCGATTCAGATTTTCTTATCTTTCCAGAAAACGATGACAAATACGGACGAATAATTCGAATGAATGAAATTTAATATTGATTTTTCATTCCTCTTTAGAACACAATTTATCCTTAATTTATAAATGATAATGTACGGATGATAATTAGTATCGTTATTAATAAAAATGTAAACAATTAAAAAATTGATAGAAGAAACATTAAATATTTAGTACGAGAAAGTGTGAAGTTTATACAAATATTTTGTAGTATCATAATATCTGATTCTTTTGTGAATTTTTATCAATCAAGCGTTACTTTCAAAATATTAATCGGTATTATTAATATTAATGAGTAAAAAAAATTTGACTAATAACAATAACTAGGTTATATATATAAAAGAGTTTTAACAATAAAAATCACGTTAACTCGCTTTAACCTTCGATATTAACAGTTTTCATAACCCACATACTTTCATTTCAACCAAAGAATACAAACGAAGTATTACCGAGTACAAATTCAAAATTCTGTTGTAGATCCACCGATGAACTCGCAAGCATTCGTTCCTGTGGACTGAATCTAAAATCGCGTGAGTATATAGCAAAGAAATATATCGGTATTATTCAGATCGAGAAGCGTTCATCTAGAAAGCGACTCGATGAGGCGAATTCTTTCCTGTCTGACCGATAACCGTTCTTCTTTAACATTCTTTCATCATTCGATGACGATGACACGTTGAAACGGATGTCTCCTTTACGAGAAATATCATGACTGAAATTCATCGTGGAATGTTGACCCTCAGGGTGGAGTACTTGTCGGTGACTGGCGCTGGCGCTAGGCAGAGGCGCTGGCGTCAGTCTGCTCGAGTAACCGCGACCGGCTGACGCCCCCCGTCTTCAGACGAGTCCACCTTGCGTTTTGCCCCCCTTCTTGCCTCGGATAACCTCCCTTCCTCCTGCCCTTGCTCGCTTCTTCCCTCACCCTCCGTCATCACCACCTTTCCCTTCCGCCGCTTATTCTGCTTCACAACGTGTTCCAGTTGCATGGATCGCGAGCTAGAAGGAGATTTATGATCGATTGATTATCATTCTCAAAGTTTCCCGAAAATTCATCTGTTTGGATATGAATTCATCGAATAACGATTATTCGTTTTCTGTGCAAAAAGAAGAAGCTCTTGGTTAGTTGAAAGAAATATTTTTAATCTTTTTTTCGCCTGTTATAATATTTACAGAATTTTTTATTTCATTCGTCGATTCATCGAATTCGAAGATTCTCGTAGCTGATGTTCCTCGTAGCAAATATATTAAATAATACTTTCAATTATTTGTACATAAATGTGTGAATATTTCTATTCCATTGATAATATGTGTGCAATATCGATCAAAATATACGAAAGGAGAGAAAATGAAGATACGTAGTATGATTTTCAAAAGTACATTTGCGGTGTATTTGTAATACACGTACGAGTGGCGCCTCTTGCGGCGAACGCGACAAATAATGGCGCGGCGGCGACGGCCATGTTTAACAATCTCCCTTGTGTGTTTAGTATGCTGCGGTCGGTGTATCGGCGCGCCGAGACGAGACGGACGGGACGAGACGAGCGACGGCGGCGACGAGGAGGTGGAGGAAGAGGCGGTGGAAATCGGTGTGTGCGCTCATGACGGAGACCTCGTGCGTACCAGTCGCGTCGTCGAGCGGAGCCGAGTCGAGTCGTGTTACGGCCGTAATCGTGGTTATTCCTCGCAACAGTTTGCTCCGTGACGACGTCAGTATCTGTGCGCGAAGACAAGAAACGATTACCAGTAGAAGAATTTAAAATAGTTAAAAATCAAGTGTAACAAGTCGCGGTGAAACTGAATGCAATTCTTTTCCCTACTACACCCTAACTTTTTTTATCCGAGTACGTATCGAAGTTTTAAACGTGCAACCGAAGCGCTACTCTCGTTCGACCTCTCTCGCCCTCCGCGAGTTATATATCCGATCTACGTGCGCTAGTCCTCCCTACTCTCTTTTTCTCGGTGTATATTTTGCTCTCTCTTCTATCTGTCCGTCTTACTCACGCGTTATCCCTCCTTATTAGTATCTCACTCATTCTCGCTAGCTCTCCGAGCAGCGATTTCAAGAATGTGACAGTGCGCGTCCTCGCGGTCGCCTCGCGCGAATAAGCCCGCAGGCCGGCGACGGCGATGGGTGACGAGCGACAAGTGTTACGGTGAATAGTGAGAACAGTGAAGAAGTAGGGGGAAAAGGACAGACGATGCAAGCGGAAAATGTCACTCGGTGATACGCGTATACGGATGACGGGGAGTGATCGACGCGACAATCTCGAATTTGAGGTTAAAGTGTCGTGGTCGTCGTCGTCGTTGTTCTTGTTGTTGTTATGTGGTGCCGGTGCGCCGGCATTGGCGACGGCACGGGCAAAGGAGTATCAAGAACGAAAACGGCACTATCGTATTCTACAGGGCTTAGCAGCCCGAGATTCGAGGGACATTGATCAAGCGCCGTGGTATATTGTTTCCAGACTCATCTCGTAAACGAAGGAAGCGAAAAAAAAGAAAGATTCGCAACGATACAAAACTTTTCGTAAGGCGATTGTGCCAATGTACGTATTATATACGGGCGCGCGTGTGTGTTTGTGCTTATGTGCCGGGTCGTGAGGTTAAGGCACCACATCGCCTGTCGATATACAACGTTGAGGAAAGTCAAGAACCGGTGTCGTGTGTGCGCGCGCGACCGATTCGTGCTGCTACATCTAACGGATAAGAAGTGTATCGTGATACTAATAGTGCGCGTCCGTAACCCCGCCGGCGACCGTTGCACCGTGCACATCTACGGACAACCAAAGCTGACGTTCGCGAACTGTCGAGACATCGACAAGTAGACAATCCTCGTGCCTTTTCACTTATATATTATGCGCTACGTTTTTTCGTTCTCGAAAAAATCCTCGAGCACTTTTTGTCTCCGACGACAGCAGCTCCCCTTGGACACCAACTTATCCAACGCAACACATTTTCTTCAATGTTGTCACTTTGTTATTCAGACGCGAAGAACATAAGATAACGTTTCAACGTTCGGTCGACGAAAGCAAAAACAGTCATTTCAAGGAAATAAAGTGACGCTTTAGCTGATATCGTGGCATATAGGTAAATGAAGATTCAAGGTTAATAGACAATATTTGTCTCAACCTCGTTTACAACGTTTCGTATGAAAAAATTATTGTCACAAAGGTAATATCATTATTATATCTGTTGATCCGTCCCATCACTTGTTACGCGTCACCTTTAGTTGGAAATATTTTCGTTTTCTGGAAAGAAAAACAAGAACGAACGACATTCACGAAAACTAGAGTGTCGCGCGTATCGGATCTGAGCATTTGAACCAGTTTTAGCGCGAAACGAACGCCATCGTTCTGCCACAAGGGGACTGTCATACTATTTCGGGACCGTGATCCAAAGTGCACGAGATACGTAGAGAGCATAAATAAATATACGCGCGTGTTCTGGCCCCGTCAGAAGTCTCGAGCTGGGGACCGTCATTCGTCTGTGATTCCCTTCGGTCGTATGTGTGTTGGCATAAGGCGGCGTTGTTGTTTTTTTTTCTTGACAGTGTATAACCGCCCGGTGTATATACTTCTCGTGTTCCGTTTTTTCGTCGTCGTCGTCACGTTGGCGAAAGAGGAGCGGCAACGGGGAAACTCAGCACTGCGTAAGGGAGAGAAACGAGGCGCGGGTAGAGGAAATTTGTGGAGGAAGAAGAGCGAGAGGGGACGGTGGAGGTGGTGGAGGGGGTGGTGGAAAGTGGCGTGTCCAGTGCGCGGTGGTGTGACGGTGTCGCGTCAGGCACCGATTCCAAATATTTCACATTTTCCGCGCGGCTACGTTGAAAAGTACTGGCCCCCAAATGCACGTACCGCAAATCCTGTTTCATGTTCATGTTCTGGAGCAAACGGACGGCGCTCACTAGACGTCTCCTAAAGGCCAAGGTCCGTGGAGAGCATGAAACCGAGTGTGAAGCTCAAGAGGATTCGTCACGTATTCATCGCGCAAACAACACGAGTGGCACCGACAACGACACGACGAGCAACGTGACGGCAACGACGGGCCAAACAACCAGAGGAGCGCGTGGAGCGTCGTCAGGAGGTGCAGTCGGCGGCGGGAGAGGGGGAGGCGGTGGAGGAGGAGGAGGAGGAGGAGGTAGCCGTATCTCGTCGAGTAGACTACATCAAGGTTGTTGCGGCGGTGATCAGAGCCAGGATGATGACGAGGATCCCGTTCGTTGTTGAGGTGCAAGGAGCTCCTCAAATCGCTCAAGGAAAATCAACTAGAGATGTTACTCACCGCCGTCGAAAGTTGTGGTGCCGATCTCGGCTCGTGCATCCTCGTGCCACGCCAGCATACCGAGGACGGTTACGATACCGAGCAACAATCGCAACAACAACAACAGCAACAATGTTATCGTCATCATCGTTACCACCATTGTCATTACTATTATCATCATCCAACGCATCATCATCACTATCATCATCGGCATCATCGAAGACATCATCGTTCCTCGTCCTTGGAGAAGGACGACGATCAAAACTCTGAATCAGAGGATTCGTGCGCGTCGCCAATAAGACCAGATCGATGCAGAGTACCTGTTCGTGGCTCGCTCGACAATATGCCAATCGATCCTCACCTGCTCTGCTGCCAGATCTGGCGGTGGCCGGATCTCGCTCATTCGTCGGAGCTCAAGAGACTTCCTGTCTGTCATTCCGCTAAAGACCCTGTATACATATGCTGCAACCCTTACCATTGGAGCCGGCTTTGCAAACCCGGTAAGTAGTTTTTCTCCTATTTTTTTTTCTCATTTTTTTAAAATGTTTTTTAACGCGTAATTATTTAAAATTAGCAAAGTTGTGTTATTTTATGTACACACATACATATATATATATATATATATATATATATATATATATATATA